ATTTTTTTGTCAATAATTCTAATGTTTACATGGAATATATATGGAATTAACTTCTTTCTTCCGGCCAGTTCATATCGTTGTGTTTGTAGGGTTTAAACTTGATAAACCATATGCTTTGATTTAAAGCTAATACCGAAATTAAGAAAGAAAAAAACAAATTAAGGAAAATTATTGCTTAAATCTTAAGCTCTGTTATTTATTTATTTATTTATTTAGTTTTTTGAACAAGAACTTTTATTAAAGAGAAGCTAGCGAGACGCTAGTATTACATGATTTTGGTACATTTTTTTCGGGTAGTCACACCAGTTAGACCAGTTAATCGTAGCACCCATTCTAGCCCTATACTTGATCCAGTTGAACGCGATGATTTTAATCTTGCTTACTATATCCTTACAACTCCTCACCTTGGTTCCGAAGATAATCTCATTCCGGTGATTCCGTATGACCGATATGCAGGGCCAGTCCAGACGGTGGGCAACCCGGGCGACCGCCCAGGGCCCACGTCTCCAGGGGGCCTAAATTTTCTGGCCTATATAATGTTATAAATATAAAAAAAAAATATTGTCTAAATGATTGTTAGGGCCTAAAGTTGGTTCAAACTCAAATTAGTTCAAAAGATAAACAATTTGGATTGCTTGTTATTGCTAATTGAACACGTCTATAGTAAAGGATTATCTAAGCCTTCTGTCAAGTAAAGGTGTTCTACAGTAACGAATGACCAGTGATTTTGTTCCTAGTAAAAGCAACAAGATAATCACGGGTTGGAAGTTTTTTGATTAGTTCGGAATGCAAGTGAATGGAAATAGCAGTGGTTCAGTATGGGCGGTCTGTCGGGGAGTCAGAAAAGTTCAAGATCTCAAATTTCGGAAAGAGAATGAGTGGTTTTATATAGGGGATTGATTTAAGTTGAGAAATGATTTGTTCTTCGTCGGGTTTTGGGAGCTCTGCTAAGGTTGGGTTCGGTTGCCTTTGGGAAGGTCGTTGGATGCCCGAGGTTGTGGTTGAGTTGCTCAGGCTGTCTGGCGTGTATGGGATAGTAAGGAATGATTTCGAGGACGAAATCTAATTTAATTGGGGGAGATTTGTAACATCTGTTTCCTTGGATGAACCAAATTAAGGTTTCGTAGGGTCAAAAGGTTAGATTTTGGTGAAAAATGGGTCCTCATGATGTAAGGCGTGGAGGCTCACGACGTGAGGAGGGCCGCATGAAGATTCTATCTGGGACTGAGCTCACGACGTAAGCAATAAGAGCTCACGACGTGAGGAGCACTGCAGCCCAATCCCACCAATTTTAGGGTTTCCCACGTATTTAAGCCCCTTTATATCGGTTTTAGGTTTCATTTCTCAGCCTCCACCTTCCCCTAACTCGGAAAGCCCTAACCCTAATCCATCTTGGTATTTTGGATCCATTTTAGTCTTTTCGTGGCTAGAAGAAGAAAAAGAAGAGGTTCTAGAGTGTTGGTTCAGCAAGGAGGCTTCATCATCATCATCGTGTATACATTTTGGACCATTGTAAGTATCTAAGATCCAACCTTTATGAGCTCAAATTGCTAGATCTAAGTTATAAGCTCCTTTTTGAATGTTTGGGTGGGATTGCTTGCATAGGGTCCATAAAGTTGGCAACTTTATGGATCATTGAATCAGTCTCTTCATTATAGTCTTTGGATTTGAGTTTTCGTGAAGTTTGGGACTCCAAGTTTGAGTCTAGATCTCATTTTCCCCACTTTTAGTCTAGTAAGAGTTTGATTCATGCATTGGACATGCATGACTGAAAAGCTTTGATTTTTATCATCTTTTGGGTAAAGGAAGACCTCCCTGGAAAGTCCCAAGTTATGGCTGAAAGGATTAAGAGCTTAATGTTTTAAGTTGGTATGTTCAGATCTCACGAGGTGAGGTTTAGGACCTTCGCATCGTGAGGAAGTTGGCCATCTTGTCTATTTTTTCCGGATTAGGTCACGACGTGACTCAATGTTGGGTTGCGACGTGACGATGAGTGGAATCTTTTTTTGGATAATTTGAGTTGACTTGCTGAGTCGGGGCTGAGTCGATTTGGTCCTCACGACGTAACCATGGTCTGGTCACGACATGAGAACCCATTGTTGGAGTTTGGACCATACATTTTGGACTATGTTGGGCCTTGGGATTATTGTCTAGAATATTCGGTTTCTTTGGATTTAGGCCCATGATGGGTTTTGGGTCCCAATTTGGAAAATTGGGCCATATTTGGGCTTTGGGTGATCATTATGGAATTCGGGCCTTGTTGGATAGTCGGTTTGGGCTTTGGCCTTGGGCCAAGTTTGTTAAAGGGTAAAATGGGTCTTTTACCCTAGTTTGGACTCTTAGTGTGATTCAAGATCCAATTATCAATTGGATGTTATTTTGTGATTGATAGTGCGAGGATTTTAGCGGATCTGAAGCCATAGAATTATCTATGGGTTTCAGTTGTCTGAGGTGAGTCTCCTCACTGTACTATGGGTCGAAGGCACCAATGCCAACCCATTGGCTTATTTATTATTGGAAGACCAAGGGGTGTCCCTTGGCATTGTATGTAAGACCCGGAGGTGGCTCCTGGCAAATTTGTATGCAAGACCAGGGTTCGGACCATGGCAGTTAAGTAGATTGTTAGTTGTAGATTGTATGCTTATTGTCTTTTTGATGCTTGCATGGAATACCGGGAGGTGGCTCTTGGCACTTGCCTGTCCCCGGCTTGGCAAGGAAAGACCATGATATGGCTTGTGGCATAATGGCAAGACCATGATATGGCTCATGGAATAATGGCAATACTATGGCTGGCACATAGCATTCTCTACTTATGTATGGTATGTGGTATTTTGGGGAAATCGCTAAGCTTTGTGGTTATAGTTTATTGTTTATGGTTTCAGGTATTTCCAGTTCGAAAGGGAAGGGCCCAGCTTGATCGCAGCGCATATAAACATATTTTTCCGCAACTTTGTGATTTTGGTATTGTACTCTGATAACTGTTTTATTATGAAATACTTCTAATTGTTTGAGTGAAAGATAAATGGGTGTTTTGATTGTATTAAAAATGAAAATTTTACCTCAAAATTTTGGGATGTTACAGGTTCGAGATTGACACAAAAAGGCCAGTGGAGGCTGAGAGGGTAAAGGACTTGAGGGACTTAAGGTCTTTAAATAGGGTGCAAACCCTAAAAATTAGGGTTTGCCCCTGGCTTGATTACGCCCACTGTAACCATGCGTACGCCCAACGTATGTTGAAGCCTCTGGATCCGGATGTCAAGCCAGTACGCTCGACATACTCCTAGCGTACGCCCAACAAAATCGGCTAGGGTCAAGAACCGCCAATCTTCCGAAGGCCATAACTTCTTCATTCTAAGTCTGATTTCATCGTTTTTTATATCCATGGGAAGGTAACAAGAAGCTCTACACTTCTATCAACTCTCCCTATCCTTAAAACTTTATGAACTTAAACCTAAACTTCATAAAGGCCCGGACCGATACTTACCGATATGCCCTTGGGCTCCAACACAAACCGAACACTCAGTCCCCACAACCCACATTATCCATCACCAAAGGGGTCTACACCTCTCATTCCCAAGGCATGAAGCCTTAAGATACTTGATCCTCGTTTCACGATCCTGAATTATGGAACGACTTAAAACATGGTGTTACAAAACCATATTCAACAGTACCTTTAACATACCTTAATATACATTTGACAAGTAGTTTGTGTTGCTTGGTTGGTTTTACCATGAATCAACTTACAATTACTACAGAGTAAGGTATGTCTAGTCGAGTGCGAGTAAGATATATTAACCACCTACGATGCTTTAATATGAGGTAGGGTTCATCGGTGTCACACCCCAAAACCGGAACGGCGGAAACGTTCGGGGGTGGAGGACGTCATGTTCAGTATCACAAC